GATACAAATATGGTAGGGTAGTAGAATAGTAAGATAGTAATATGGTAAGATAGGAAGATAATAAGAAAGTAGTACAGTAAGAATGTAACATAGTAAGATGGTAAGATAGTAAGATTGTAAGACAGTAAGGTTCTAATATAGTAAGATAGTAAAATACTAAGATGGTAAGATAATAAGATAGTAAGAAAAATAGATAGTAAGATAATATGATAGTAGGATAGTATTATAGCAACATAGTAAGATCGTAGGATAGTAAGATTCAAAGATTGTAAGGTACTAAGGTAGCAAGATACCTAGATAGAAAGATACAAATATGGTAGGATAGTAAAATAGTAAGAAAATAAAATAGTAAAATAGTGAAATACTCATATAGTAAGATAGAAGATAGTAAGATCATAAGATACTAAGATACTATAATATTAAGATAAAAGATAAAAAGATAGTGAGATAGTATGATAGTAGGATAGTAAGATGCCTAGATAGTAAGATACGAATATGGTAGGGTAGCAGAATAGTAAGATAGTAAAATAGTAAGATTGTAAGATAATAAGATAGTAAGACAATAAGATATAAAGATAGCAGGATAGTAAGATAGTAAGATAGCAACATAGAAAGATCGTAAGACAGTAAGATTCTTAGATAGTAAGATACCTAGATAGTAAAATACAAAGATGGGAGGGTAGTAGAATATTAATATGGTAAGATAATAAGATAGTACGATAGTAAGATATAAGATAGTAAGATAGTAGATATAAGGAGTAAGATAGTAAGATAGTAAGATAGTAAGATAGTAAGATAGTAAGATAGTAAGATAGTAAGATAGTAAGATAGTAAGATAGTAAGATAGTAAAGATAGTAAGATAGTAAGATAGTAAGATAGTAAGATAGTAAGATAGTAAGATAGTAAGATAGTAAGATAGTAAGATAGTAAGATAGTAAGATAGTAAGATAGTAAGATAGTAAGATAGTAAGATAGTAAGATAGTAAGATAGTAAGATAGTAAGATAGTAAGATAGTTAGATAGTAAGATAGTAAGATAGTAAGATAGTAAGATAGTAAGATAGTAAGATAGTAAGATAGTAAGATATTAAGATAGTAAGATAGTAAGATAGTAAGATAGTAAGATAGTAAGATAGTAAAGTAGATAGTAAGATAGTAAGATAGTAGATAGTAAGATAGTAAGATAGTAAGGATAGTAAGATAGTAATATCCTCTTCACTCCTTTTGTACACATGTGTGTACTAATTCAGTTACATTTATATCGTGGAAATAATGAAAAAGAAACCTGTATTTGGTAATGTATCTACTACAGGACACTACCCTCGACCGTTCTATAGTGAAGTTCGGTAAATCACTCATAGATGGAAGCAGTAGTAACATCATGGAGAATCGTAGAAAAATGGTTCCATACCGTGACTTAAATAAACGTGGTAAGTACTGTTATTATAACATCATTTTAAGCTGTAAATAGTATTTGGTCTTCTATTAGTATTACTCCGTGTTGTCGAAGTTCCCAAATGTATACAAAATTTGCATTATCAGAAATTTGGAGACATAAAGAGATTTGTACACATTTGTGTAATCGAGTACCCAGCACTGATTCTACTATTAATTATTATGGCTACATATGTGTACACTAGTTCCCAGCCCTAGTTGTACTGTTGATTATTATGGCTACATACAGGGTGATTGTTTGGGTTGGAAACCTTAAAATATCTCAATTAAGTACCATTTAAGCAAAAAACGTCGAGACAGATCTATTTTTATTTTGGATAACTGCAACTGTGACCATGTCATTCATTTAATTTTTGCTTAAATGGTATTTACTCAATAGAGATATTTTAAGGTTCCAACCCAAACAATTACATTCTATGTGTACACTAGTTCGTAGTTAGTAGTAAATATTAATCAACTTCTAAAAACGCGTTATTTTTTTACAGATCGAAAAAAACCTTTAACTCAAGAAGAACTTTTATCTCTGCTTGATGAAAGTGACATAGATGAATTTGATGACTCTATAGCAGACGAAAATTACACACCTGATTTGAGTGATTTAAGTGATCTCGAATCAGACAGTGATGCTGGAGAGAATGAAGAGACAACTCAAAATTTTCAACAGGAGAATACTCTTAACGGAGGTGAACATTTAAGTGATTCCGAATCAAACGGAGATGAACAGGAGATTAGTCCGACAGAAAGTATTTATGACAAACAAGAAACTGGAGATGTAATTCAAAGTGCACACACAGATGAAGTCAAGACGGAGGGTGAAAACTCAGCAGAAAATAGAACTGTTAATGATGTCCAAAAAAATACTAGCGCGGAAGCTCCTAAAAAACAGAATTTGAAAAAAATTAATTTTAAATGGGACAAAAAATTTAAACTGAAAACTAAATTTCCAGAATTTGAAACTAACTTATCAGATTCAAGCAGCGAGTTTGAGCCATTACCATTAAAATACTTTGACGATTATTATAACAATGATTTTTTTGAGTTAGTTGCTACACAAACTAATATTAATTTTCACCAAGTTCGTGGAAAAGTACTAAACACAACTGCTTCTGAGATTCGAAATTTTATAGGAATCACTTTAATTATGAGTACATTAAAGTATCCAAGAATAAATATGTATTGGGCTACCCATTACCGAGTTCCTTTAATAGCGGATTGTATGACAAGGGACAGATATTTTTTATTGCGAAACACAATTCACTTTGTCGACAATAATTCATTTTCTGAAAATGACAAGAAAGAAAATAGATTATGGAAAGTAATGCCCGTAATCCAAAGATTTCAGCAAGCAGTTTTAAATCTACCAAGAGAAAAACATGTTTGTATAGATGAGCAAATTATTCCTTTCGCTGGTCATGTTAGAATTAGGCAGTATGTACCTAGAAAACCCAATCCAACTGGACTTAAACTCTATGTGTTATCATCTCCAAAGGGACTCATTTTAGATTCATTCATTTATCAAGGAGCTACCACAAATTTTCCGATCGATCCTAATTCGAAATTAGGTACAGGAGGTCGAGCTGTCTTAAAATTAATAGAAACATGCCCAGCAGGTACAAATGTTTACTTTGACAGGTATTTTACTGGAGTTGCACTCTTAGAAATTCTTCACGAAAAAGGGATTTCTGCAACAGGAACAATAATGACAAATCGATTTCCAAAAATCGGATTAAAATCAGATGCCGAAATGAAAAAGATGAGAAGAGGGTGTATAGATTCAAGAACTAGAGAGGACGGCAAAATATGCATTGTCAAATGGATGGATAACCGATCTGTACTACTGGCTTCAACAATACATAGTGATCGACCTTTGGATGAGGCAAAAAGATATTCCAAAGACGATAAAGGTTACATTTATGTTCAAAGACCCAATATTGTTAAAAACTACAATACCAATATGGGAGGTGTAGACTTGGTAAATCGGATGATATCAACCTATCGTTCCTATCACAGGACAAAGAAATGGACAGTCCGGCTCATGGAACACTTCATGGATATGAGTGTAGTGAACTCCTGGATAAAATACAGAAATGAGTGCAGTAATCATCAGGTTCCTCGTCGAAAAGTTATGGACTTATTGGATTTTAAAACAGAAATCGCACAGGAACTGATTTTAAATAATAAGACTAAAAGAACTTTATCTGATGAGGATGAAGATGGGCCTACTGCAAAAAAGAAATGCCGTGGTAGACCTGGATTTGTTGCTATTCCTCTTCAACAAATGCGATGTAATGAAGCTAAGCATTTACCTGTAGCAGAAGATCTGACAACTGCCCAGAGATGCCGAAAAGAAGGTTGTAAGGGTCGATCTAGAATAAAGTGCACCAAATGTAATGTATATTTGTGTATTCTTAAAGATAGAAATTGTTTTAAAGACTTTCATTGTTCAAAATAAAAAAATATTTTAATTTGTTTTTATAACTTTCATTTACTGTTTGGTCCCTGTATACACATATGTGTACAAATTAGTTGAGAGAATATTCTACGTACAATACTAGAGTGCACATTTGTGTACAAATTGATAACGGCGACTGTTATCAATTAGAGCTTTGTTAACACAATCATAGTCTTATTTAGGCCTAAAACACTCCGTAAAATAATAAATTATTATTAAATAATACATTCTGCAATGTCGGGACTGAAGAGGATATAGTAAGAGAGTAAGATAGTAAGATAGTAAGATAGTCTTCTTCTTCTTCGCGTGCCATATTAGTATTATCCGGTGTTGGTTATCACCATTGGGAAGGCTTCCCGATTTTCTACAATATGGAATAATTGTCCTGCATTTGGTATCTGAGTACATTCACGAATGTTTTTTAACCAGGAAACTTGTTTTCTTCCTACACATCTACGACCCTCTATTTTGCCTTTAAGGAGCAGTCCTAAAAGTTTATATCGATTTCCCCTTACTATATGTCCAAGATAAGACATATTTCGATATTTAACAGTCTTTAGCAGTTCTCTGTCTTTGTTAACGCTCCTTAGTACTTCTTCATTAGTTTTTCTTGCTGTCCAAGGTATCTTCAGCATTCGTCTGTAAACCCACATTTCCAATGCTTCAATTTTGTTGATAATCGATACTTTTAGCGTCCACACTTCTGCACTATACAAAATTACAGACCAAACATAGCACTTAACCATTCTTTTCCTTACTTCTAAACTGAGACGGTTATTTCAAAGAAATAACTTTAATTTTTACAAAAGTAGTTTTAGTCTATTCTACATTTTATTTATATGTCTGTTCACAGTTCCCAAATATGTTATTCTGTAAACTTTCTTAACTTGGACACCGTTCAATTGAAGCTTTGCATCGGGATGTGGGTCACGACTAAACACTAAAAATTTGGTTTTGTTTGAGTTTATTTTAATGCCCATTTCCGCTCCTACCTCGGAATACGATCACGCAGAATCTGAAGACCTTCAATATTATCTTATAGAATTACTGTATCGTCTGCATATCTAATCACATTAAGTAGTTCCCCGTTGATTTCTATTCCATATGATTGTCTTTCAAGTACCTTTTTAAATAACTGGTCCGAGTAAAAAATTGAACAATGTTGGTGACAAAATGCAACCTTGTCTGACTCCCGTTGGATGGGGATTTCATCGGTGTAGTTATATCCAATTTTAAGGATAGCAGTTTGATTCCAGTACAAATTTTTAATAACACGAATATTCTTGTCATCTATTCCGATATTTTCCAGTATTTTGCATTCATTCTACATGCTGTACTTTATCTAATGCCTTTTCGACGTCCACGAAACATGAAAATACATCTTTTCTTTGATCACGGCATTTTTGTAATGGGATGTTAAGCGCAAAAACTGCCTCCCTGGTTCCCATAGCATTTCTAAAACCAAATTGGGTATCTTCAAGATCTTCTTCGCATTTGCGTCTAATTCTGTTGTGAAGTATTCTGAGGAAAATTTTAAGAGTGTTGCTTATTAGGCTAATTAATTGATATTCTGAGCATTTTGTTTGCATTGTGTTTTTTAGGTACTGCGATAAAGATGGATTTGAACCAATCTGCGGGAATCACTCCGGTGTTATATATTGAATTAAAAAGTCTTACTACTACTTTTATGTTATCATTCTCTATTAGTTTCAGCAACTCAACTGGTGTATCATTTGGACAACAAGCTTTCTAATTTAGCATTACTTATAGCATGTTCTACTTCGCATTTCATAATTTCTGGGCCGTCAGTACAGTTTTGGTAGAATTCGACAATATTATTCCTGTCATCTTCAAACAATTCTGATATATACAGCTGCCATTCTTTTCTTATTTCTTGCTCATTTACAATAATTTTGTTATTAGTTTTAACAAGTACAGAGACAACTCGTTTTTTAAATATATTATTCTTACTACTTACTATATATAGTAACATCGTAAGATAGTGAAATAATAAGATAGTACGATAGTAAGATAGCAACATAGGAAGATACTAAGATAGTAAGATACCTAAATAGTAAAATACAAACATGGTAATGTAGTAGAATAGTAGGATAGTAAAATAGTAAGATAATAGGATAGTAAGACAGCAACATAGTGAGATAGTAACATAGTAAGATAGTAAGATATTAAGATAGTACGATATTAACGTCAGAGGGTAATATAGTGTGATAGTAAAGTAGTAGTATAGTAGAATGGTAAGATAGAAATATAGTAGGATAGTAGCATACTATGGCAGTAAGGTAGTAAGATAAGTAAAGAAAGTAATATAGAAAGTTGAATTATGGCAAATAGAACTATAGTGAGATGGTTATAGCAGAATAGACTATCTCTTATGCCTACGGTATACCAGGAACGTAGGAGGGCTAGTGGTACGCTTGCACTATCTATTTTTATATCTGGTTTTACCTAAGGTATTTATTCTATTAAGCCGTTCCGGATCCTGTATATTATATTAAGAAACGACCTTCTGCGTGAAGTCAGGTACTCTACCTCCTGAGCTATTCGCACCAGAGAAAGAATGTAATAATCAATAAAAGAAGTTAATCGTTTTTTTAACTGTAGGAAATTTCACAGTTTTAGATTAACACGATAAGTTAAGTTGGTATAAAAACAGGAGTTATAATATTGTAAAATATTAAAATATTAAAAGAGCAATATATGAAAATAGAAAGTTATTCAAGAACTATATAAGATAAAAGATAAGAAGGAAGTTAAATGACAAAATGTTAGTAATATACTCTCATAGTAAGAGAAGGAGAGGAAGAGAAATATTTATATATATATATATATATATATATATATATATATATATATATATATTAGTAATAATTAATAATAATAGGTTGTACATCATTTCTTAGAATTCCTTTCATGATTGATTGAAAGATATGATATATGATGATATTTTAAAGCTATATCTGAATATAAGTATAATTTAAGAAGCAATAATTGCAATATGAATCTAGAGTTTATACATATTATACATTAAATTTAAGTAAATCTAAAGTTAATTACTAATATTCTTCATATTGGGTAGATGGCTGTGGTGACGGCCGTCTCTGTTGGAGAGAAATGTTAATTTCTTCTGGAGATCTGTATACCTGTTGAGGTCTCAAAGTTGTAGGTGAAACATACTGGAATCGTGGTTGTCCAGTTACGCGAATCTAAAAGGTTAATTAAAAAAATTTAAATATTATAATGTTTTAAACTGTGAAAATTGTTGGTACTGCCTATAGTTATAATATTCACTGTTACTTTAGATATATAACGAGCAAAGATTTTAATCAAATTTACACTAAATGGCCAGATGATTTATGCATAAAATCAAAGCTCTGTTATATGGACGTGAAAGCTTGTAATGACACAAAGTATAAATTATTTATACAGTATGGTTTACAGACACCGTCTCTGGTGAGATATTGAGATGTTAAGATATTAAAGATAAAAAAAATCCCAAAGTAATATTTTACTTTTCGTTATTGTTTTAATTGGAATTGCTTTCAACCACAATCAAGGACACAAATAGTGTGTCAAGTTTAATAAAATACCTGAGTTTACATACTTGCAAATAATCCAAGCATGGTGTTGCTTACACATGCACAACAAAGCTGACCGATATCGTCATAAATGTAAACCTTATTTAAAAGGGATGATGTGATGTAAAATTGAGATATGTAAGATATTAAAGATTCATTTATAAAAAGTTCCGAAGTAATGTTTTACATTGCTTTATTGTTTTAATTAAAATTAATTTTAATCAGAATCAGGGACACACGTTTAACAAAATACCTGAGCTTGCAAACTTGAAAATAACCCAAGCGTGGCCTTTCTTACACACGCATAGCAAAGCGGACCGATATAGTTATAGGTGGTATGATATAAAAAGAAAATATGAATGGAGTTTAGAATAATATTGGTTCCTTAGTCAATCATAATATTATTATTATTATTATAATATAAGCGAGGGCAGAGGAACTAAGTCCCTATTATGCCCAAAAACAAAGAAATTTCATTAATCACCTACTAGTAAATAACAAAAATTACAACTAAAAGAAATAAAAATTACAATTTTTGGTTTAAAAGAAAAACAATATTTTAACTATAATATAAAACTGTCGAGTCTGTTTTGAACGAGTTGGTAGAGGAAGCGGAGACAATGTTGTCGTTGAGGTTATTCCAGCACTCAAAAACTCTATTTGGAAGAAAGTTCTGTCTTTGTCTTATAGAAAAATTTTCTTTCTTTAGTTTATATTGATGACCTCTGAGGCGTTCATCTTGGTTTATGATAAATATTTCCTCGAGGTTTCCAAAATTGAATTTTAGTATTTTTGAATGTTGTAATTAAGTCTCCACGTTGTCGGCGAAGTTCAAACGTAGTGAGGTTTGCCATACACTTCTGCATAAGACGGTCTTCTCGGTCCCAAAGAAATTCGAGTGGCTTTTCTTTGAACATTTTCCAACAGAGTCTTGTCTCGAACCAGATCAAGATACCACGTTGGTCCAGCGTATTCAAGTATGGGGTCTTACGTACAAAGTGTAAAGTTTGCAAAATAATTGCATTGAAACTCCCGAAAAACACCTCCGAATAAGATACAGTCTGGAGTTTGCACGTTTACAAATAGAGGTAATATGATCGGACCAAGTTAGGCTGCTGTTCACAATAACACCAAGATCGTTATACGAAAACACAGATTCTAATTGCTGCCCGTTAACAAAGTACGGCACAAGTGGGTTATTTTTGCCATATTAATAGTTAATTAATAAATATTAATGCCATGCTCGTAAGCTGTAATTTATATATTTAGTAATGTCATGGATACTCTATTCCGTGTGAATATAAGTATCCAAGAAATGAGATATATCACAGTTTAATATATTAACCAACCTCTCCCAAGTCAAGATGTGATTCTATAAGTAACACCGTCAGGAGACGCTGTATCCAATTATGCATGCAAATAAATAAGTCTAGGTAATTTTATTATACGCTCATTAGATTTATCTCTTAAAATGATCGTATTTGGAATCTATATATCTACACTTTTTCATAATTGTAGAAAATCTTTCACAACTAAAACAACGCAATTTCTTGAAGCGCTTGAGGCCACAACAAGGGTTGTGTTGTAGAGGTAGTATTTTTGTTTTACTTTTTAGTATCGAGAATGACTGGATATGATTTCAAATAACTAGTTCTTACATAGCAGTTAGCTCTAACTTAAGACTCCACATGTAACACTTTCATAATTGCATTAACCTGCAGATTAAAGGAAGTGAGGGTAGCTAGATATAACGAAAAAACAACTGTGACAGCTCAGCTGGTGGTCTTAAAACTGATCATGGGCAAAAGATAAACAAACTTTTTGGTTATCTCTTAGATAGCAGACACTTCACTGGTATCCACAAAAAGGGGTCTGTACAGTGATGGTTATAATTGATGCTAAAGTCCGGGGATCCTTTAAATCGGGTACTTAAGAATATTATTTATAACTATTTATATATATATATATATATATATATAATATATATAATATATATATATATATATAATAATATATATATATATTGTGAAAAGGCAGCAAAAATTTGATTTCACGCCAACAGCGCATTTGTATCTGTTGATACGTATTTCGACCTAATAGGTTCTCATCAGAACAGTTATTCAAAGGTGTTCTCAACGTGAAAGATCAATATTTTCTGTCTTTTAAGAAGCAACACCAAAATGGCTTCAATACGGACGCAATAGCGACATTTGACAATAAAACCGTAAAATAGTTTCGAAACACAAATCAGATTTCCGCTTTAATCTGTGCTTTCTAAAAATTGTAAAGTAAAACAGACGTTGATAAAGGCGTTAAAAGAGACGTGGGGAATCTAAAATTTGCATTCCACGACACGTCTTTTCAACTAAGCAGAAATCCTTAGCGAATTGGTTTCTAGTACTCGTACAGAGTAGATCCGAATAAAGTGAAAAGACAGCAAATATTTGATTTCACGCAAACAGCGCCTTTGTATTTGTTGATACGTATTTCGACCTAATAGGTCTCATCAGAACAGTTATTCAAAGGTGTTCTCAACGTGAAAGATCAATATTTTCTGTCTTTTAAGAAGCAACACTAAAATGGCTTCAATACGGACGCAATAGCGACATCTGACAATAAAACCGTAAAATAGTTTCGAAACACAATTCAGATTTCCGCTTTAATCTGTGCTTTCTAAAAATTGCAAAGCAAAACAGACGTTGATAAAGGTGTTAAAAGATACGTGGGGAATCTAAAATTTGCATTCCATGACACATCTTTTCAACTAAGCAGAAATTATTAGCGAATTGGTTTCTAGTACTCGTACAGAGTAGATCCGAATAAAGTGAAAAGACAGCAATCAACAGATACAAAGGCGCTGTTTGCGTGAAATCAAATATTTGCTGTATTTTTACTTTATTCGGATCTACTCTGTATGAGTACTAGAAACCAATTCGCTAAGGATTTCTGCTTAGTTGAAAAGACGTGTCGTGGAATGCAAATTTTAGATTCCCCACGTCTGTTTTAACATCTTTATGAACGTCTGTTTTGCTTTGCAATTTTTAGAAAGCACAGATTAAAGCGGAAATCTGAATCGTGTTTCGAAACTATTTTACGGACATATATATATATAAATATATATATATAAAATATATTAATAAATAGTATATATATCATATAATATATATATATATATATATATAATATATAATAATATATATATATAATATATATATATATATAATATATATATATAATATATATAAATAAATATATATATATATATATATATATAATATATAAAGTAAAAAGTAATCGGCATGTCTCGCAAAACTGAAAAACCAAAAATGGTATATCGATGGAAGGCAACAGTATATAACGTATTTCTAGACTATTGGTCTTCAGTACGGTGCAGCCAAGTTAAGAAAAGGAGCATATTAACTTAGGAAAGGATCACTACAGGAGCAATGCAACCAATTTGTGGCATTAAAGTTAGAAGACCCTGATGGTTTCCAGGGCAACACCTAACACCAACCATGTAGGAAGCTTAGCTACCTGGAGAAAGGAATGCCAAACGTTGAAACGTTTAAAACAAATGGAAAAGGATAATGCGAGTGAATAAAAAAAGTAAAAAGTAATGACATGTCTCGCAAAACAGAAAACCAAAAATGGTATATCGATGGAAGGCAACTGTATATACGTATTTCTGACTATTGGTCGTCTTCAGTACGGTGCAGCCAAGTTAGAAAAGGAGCGTATTAACTTGGGAAAGGATCACTACAAGGAGCAATGCAACAGGTCTTCTAACTCTAATGCCACAACTTGGTTATATATATATATATATATATAGAATAATAATATATATATAATATATATATAATATATAGTATATATATATATATATACATATATACATATATATATAAATAATACAATAATATATATATATATACATATATTTATTTATATATATATATAAATATATATATAATATAAATATATATATATATATATATAATACCGTAATATCGAAATGTTTAAATTTTATTATTCTTATCCTAATTAATTCTAAACATCAATTACGAAGAATAGGCAAATACATTAATAATGTATTAATCACTTACCGAGTGTTGATACACATATTTTGTAATAATCACTTACCGAGTGTTGATGTTGCACTGGAGCATCGTCGTCTTCATTATACCTTGTTCTATATTGTTCGGGATAATATCTATCAGAATATCTCAAAGTTATATTTGGTTTTTGCTGGTATTCCTCAAGATTTACTGGTTTGTATAAGAAATCGTTAACAAAATGGTAGTCGGATGATTTTCTCGCAAATGTTGTCTCCCCCTGGAGGCATGCAAATCAAATGTACCTATAAATAAATTTATTATCTTTTTAATAAATACCTAAGATACGTCTATAAAATATATTTTAAGATATTTATGTGATACTTCCATAGAAGTATCGTACTTTAAAGAAAAATACTTGTTTATACCCAATGATAGCCATGAAGTAATTGAATAAAATAGCAAAAAAATACCATGTTAATCTTTTACGCTAGATTAGGTACCTACAATAATATAATACTAATAATAAATAGAAACAAATATATTTATTTTTATCTATTTATATTAAACATATTAAAATATGGAGTGAATTACATGGACTAAATATCTCTGATTCCAAAACTAAATTATGTATTTGTACAAAAAAAAAAAAACGAAAATAAATACCCAACCACATCTTAATAAACAACGTCTGCTATCCAGTGCAAAGTTATGTTGAATATTTGGGTATTACCCTTGATAGATAGCTTCTCTGGCAAGAACTTATAGACAACATAGTTAAAAAAACAGAAAAGGGAATAAATCTTTGATTCGTATCACCCTCACGATGGTGAGTAGATCCAAATATTTCTTTACTATTAATGAAAAACAATATAAGAGCTATAATCGACTATGGATCAATATTACATAGTGACGCTTCACAGTGTCTTTAACCAAAATAGGCAAAATCGTTCATAAATCCTACCTTAGATTAGTAACCCACAAGTTGAATACTGAGAAATGCCAATGAATATAAGACGAAAAAAACTTGGCATCAGGCTTTTAATTAGATTGTATGAGAAAAAGCCAAGTTTAATATCCTAAATACACCAGCTGTTCTTGGCAGACTTAACAAAAAAGTATTTGATAAAAACGAAAACTCTAAATATAGTAGATTTCTATTCAAAAATGACAGTATATGATGAACAACTATATAAATATGACTCAAACCCAAATTACAATATTGACTTTAATACTATGGAACAAGTTCACGTACACGTGTATTTCTTTAAGAAAATTAATAGTCTTAGATCTTTATAATGTATATGTATTTGACACAAATGGTCAAAGATTGTTACGAGTATATGCTATATACAGATAGATCCAAAAATATTGAAGGTGTGGGATGAGCATACTGGGATAACAATAATAAAAATAGTAAAATGTTAAACTAAATTTCATCATGAGTATATATCACAGCTGAATTAATAGCAATAATGGAAGCACTAAAATATTTATCTAATATAAATAATTCAAAGTTTATAATGTATAGTGACAGCAAAAGTTCTTTAAGTAAAATTAGTGCCATAAATCCTAAATCAAATGCTAAATTACATTGATATTTAAATGGGAATTTATTTAAATGGGAATAAAAGCCACAATTAAAGGTTAAAGAATGTTTATTGACGTTTTAATTTCCACTTCGGAAATCATTCTCAAAATACAAACATTAGTAAATTTACTGAAATTGAAACGTCGACAAACATACCTTAACCTTTAATTGTGGCTTATTCCCATTTAAATAATAATTACCTTAAAATGCCACAAGAAAACAGCTTCAGTACAATATAAATGACATTGAGTTAAAATTAACGAGCTTCAGCAACAAGACGAAACTGTTAATTTGGCAAGGATTAAAAGCCACTGTGGTATAACTGGAAATGAAATAGTAGATGAATTTGCAAAAAACATGGTGAGACAAGGAGTATTAACTCATTATCTTTGTACTTCTAGAAATATAGAGTAATACATATTCAAGGAGCTTAAGAAAGAATGGAAAGAAAGGTATATTAATGAGAATATAAATACAGAAAACCATTACAGAGCAATCAGAAACCATATTACGGAAAAATCTTGGTTTTTTAAAATGAAGTCGACAAAGAATATTACAAGAACTATATGCAGTATGAGATTTAACCACTGTTTTACACCATCATATATGCTTTAAATTAATCTAGCTGATAGTCCACAATGTACTTGTGGTCATATGGGTAACCTACAACATAAAATTTTGGACTGTTCTGTTATATCTAATAAGGGTAATAATTTTTTTAAATTCACTCTCTTCTTTGACTGATGTCCACCATCCCATTAATTTAAAATATTTATTAACATTAGACAACAATGAGCTTTTATATAGATTATTGTATAAACATGTTTTATAATAAATTTAAATTGTAATTTTAAATATAGTAAGTATTCCTTTGTAATTTGTTAGAATATACACAATAATAAAAAAAGAAAAAAAATGAAATAAAAAATGTAAGAAAGAAATAAAAAAATAAAAAAAATGGGGAACAGTCCATAGTAAAGTAGCTATTAAATTAAGTACATCGCTGCAGAAGAGCTTGCTGCGAAATTCTAAGGACCTCATCGTGTTTTCTATATAAATAACTAAAAAAGCACCTAATAAAAAAAACTAGAAACAAATTTCCAAAAAAGACTATATATTAGAGATCAATATTAGTATTAGATTTAGGATAGATTGTATACGAAACAATCACTAATGAATAAATTAATAAAAATTTTGGGATTGGCGAATGGATTTCAGTGTCTGCAGTCATACAAACTCAAACAAACAGCAACAATCTATTTAGCTTATCATAGAAAAGTTAAAAGAAATTAAAATTATATAAATTAATCTTTCATGGTTATTAGTGCTTCACATCTCACTTCTGTATTGCATTTAGATTTATAAAAGCCAATTGGAAATAAAACACAAATTAAAGAAAAAAACAACACACACACACAACTTTTATTTTCTCAATCTATTAAATTACCTTTGGTAAAAATTCACAAACCAAACTTTTCAAAAATTTATTTTTAGATGTCTTAGACGTCTTCTATTGGCTAATTTCTAGCCAATCCGTTTCTGCAATGTTCTAACCGCCAGGCGCCAGACTTTATCTATCTCGTAATCCTGTCCTCTACAAAAATTTCCGATTAAAGGATAAATCTCTTCTAAGAAATTATGGGAAAGCCATTGCTAATCAAAATTCCTAATTCATTCGAATTAACGACCTACATGAAGCGTCGACAAAAAAAAGATTATTAATTTTCCTAGAAACCGCGCAGAGAAAATCGAAAACGTTTTGAAAATTTATAAATCTATGTATTTTGGATAATTAAAAAAAATTTATACAATTTTACAAGAGAAATTTTTTCCAATTTACTATAATTTTACTATAATTTAGAATGGTATACAGAAAACCACTGAGCATTTTCCTTTTAAATTTTAATTTATTTAATATTTTGTCTTACTTTGACGGTCTTGAAGATAGCAGGTGGCCTTAGGTGCAAACATAATAATCTATTGATAATAATAAGACGGCTACATTACTCTTACTGACAAAAGTTACTCTTAGAAGCACATGGCAAAATGAATATTGGATGAACATGTGCCAATAGATTTGATGGAAACTTAAGCTGCATATTCTGTAGCAGAATCTTCACCATTTCATTTATAATGTTACTGTCTCCTTACAACGTGTTAAGAGGAGAAGTAGAGCCCCCATAGCTTATGTTGCTTTTCAGAGATCCTATAATTGCAAAGCAAGCAAGTGTTTAGGTACACCTTGCTTATTTGCATCTTGCTTATGGTTGGTTTTGCCACCATGTTATAATTTATTACTATTTAACTGGGAATAAGCCACAATAAATCAAGTTCTAAAGTCTACAAAGCCAAAAGATGTTACACTTATCCTTGGAGACTTCAACTCCAAAACTGGCAAAGGAAAAAGCGGAAAAAATGTGGGAGAATATGGTTTAGGGGCAAGAAACGACAAAGGAGACAAACTTTTAGAGTTCTGTCAAGAGAATGATATGATAATTTCAAATACATTCTTTAAGCTACCCAAACGAAGACTGTACACATGGACGTCCCCTCAACACACTAGGGAAAAACCAATTAGGAATCAGATAGATTATATTTTAATAAATGAGCGATACAGAAATTGTATAAGATCAGTTAAGGCTTATCCAGGCGCAGATGTTTCTTCAGATCATAACCCCCTGATAGCGGGGTACACATTAGACTCAAAAGACCTTCAAATAAAACAAAAATAGATCACATAGATACCAGCCGCTTACAAGATCCAACAATTAAAGAAGATTTAAAACAACATATCAATGATAACTTACGAATGCTTTCTACAAAGACAAAGAACACGCATGTAGAAGACAAGTGGCAAGATTTAAAAGACGCCATAATAAAACCTGCCCAGAAAATGCTTACCAAAGAGAAACAGAAAAAAGGACGAGAATGGATAACAGAAAAAATTTTAGGTCTCATGGAGGAGCGAAGACAGTTAAAGGGAAAATGCAGCCAAAAATATAATGAAGTAAACAAACAAATCAGAAAAGAAATAAGAACTGCAAAGGAAAATTTTTATACAAGAAAATGCGAGGAAATCGAAGAACTACATCTCAAACATGACACTTTTAACTTACATAAAAAGATAAAGGAACTGACAGGTACACAAAAACGAAAACATCCCAATCTCCTATGCAACGCAAATGGTGAAATAATAGCCGATCTACAAGAAAAGCTTAGGACCTGGAAGAACTATGTAGAAGAATTGTTCGACGATGAAAGACAAGAACCTAATATAGATAACTTGCAAGGCGACGAAGGACCAGAAATAACTAAAGAAGAACTATTATACGCTATAAAAATAATGAAAAATGGTAAATCACCGGGTCCAGACGGGCTCACATCAGAACTTCTTAAGCTTGTGGAAGGCGAATCAGTGAATATTCTACTCGACCTTTTTAACTGCATCTACAAAAGAGGAGAAATACCAAAGGAATGGCTACTTTCAACTTTTGTAACCTTACCAAAAAAGGCAAATGCAAAACAGTGCACTGACTACCGCACTATAAGCTTAATGGGGCATACATTAAAAGTATTCATCAAAGTAATCCACTCAAGAATTAACAGAAAACTAGATGCAGATATTAGTAATACTCAATTCGGATTTCGGAACGGGCTTGGAACAAGAGAAGCACTATTTGCACTTAACG